AGTGCATCAGGACCCCCCTCCTGCCCACACGAGTGCGTACGAGGGAGCAAAAAGCAGAACCGTTCCATGTCCGCCTCCGCCGGCAGATGACGCATGGCCTCCGATGAGTGGCCGCAGTCGCGGCGTCGAAGGGAAGGGGGGGAGGACGACGGGACAGGAGGGTGGAACAAAAACTGACACAAACATAAAGACTCGGAGGTCCGCGCGGATTTCTCGGATCGGCGCTGGGGCCCCCCAGCGGCGCCTCTGGCGCCGCCCCTGGCGCGCTCCGCGCGCCAGGGAGGGGGGTCCAGTCCCGCCTGGATTAAAAATATTAACTTCGGGCCCCATAGGGAGGGGACTCCCGCCTGAGATTTCCTCACAGTTCACTTACAGACGAGCCCCCCAAGCCTCGGGAACCCGATAATTACACTGGTTATAGGTTCGAGGATGACCCGCTCGGATTAAAAACATGAAGCGCGGGCCCCATCGGTGGGGTTCCCACCTGAGACTTCCTCACAGTTCACCCACAGACGAGCAACCCGCCCGGTACTTTCCCCATTTTCAAGCCTCAGGACCTCAAAAAGAACGACTACACAGTTTCGAAGATGACCCGCTCGGATTAAAAACGTGAGCTGTGGGCCCCATGGGGAGGAGGGTCCCGCCCGAGACTTCCACGCAATACACTCACAGACAAATTTCCCGCCTCATACTCCTCCCATACTCAGGCTAGCGAATGAGTGGGTGAGTGGGTGAGAGAATGACTGAATGAGTGATGATGATAAGGAGGATGATGCAGACGATGACCGAATGGGTAAGTGAGCGTGTGATCGATGGATGGTCAAGGTGATCAAGATGGTCTGTGTGCGCGCGGATGTGAGCGCGAGTGAGTATGATTGATGACAAAGAAGACTGTGAAGCTGATGGAGATGGTGACGAATAAAAAATGAGCGGGGGTGAATGAGTGTGTGAGTGATGGTGGTGATGCTAGTGGTGTTGCTGATGTTGTGGAGATGATGGTAGTGGTGTTGATGGTGATAAGTGTGCGTGGGTGATGGCGACGTGATGACTGCGTGAATGACTGATGATGCGTGGGCGATGATGTGGTGTGTTCCAATTCCTGCGCCATGTCCACCAAAACAACAACCCCGCTTTGAATGCGGGAACAAACATGAACTGCGGACCCCATAGGGCGGGGGTTCCCGCCTGAAACGCCCTCGCGATTCACTCACAAACGAGGCTGTCGTCTGATACTTCCTCTATATTCACGCCTCAGGAACCCAAAAATTGACGACGGCTGCAGGACTCCGATAACCCGCCTCGGATTGAACATGTGAATTGCGAACCCCATAAGGGAGGGGGCTCCCGCATGAGACTTCTTCACGGTTCACTCACAGACGAGACTCTCGCCTGATACTGCTTCCATTTTCAGACCTCGGGGGCCCAAGCGTGACGAGAGCTGCCAGATTCCAATGGCCCGCCTCGAATGAAAAACGTGACTTGCGGGCCCCATAAGGGAGGGGCTCCCGCTGGAGATTTCCTCACGGTTCACCCACAGACGAGGCTCCCGCCTGATACTTCCTCCATATTCAAGCCTCAGGAGCCCAATTCCGATAAGTGTGTGGGCGAGTGTGCGAATGGGTGAACGAATGGGTGAATTAATGAATGTGAATGATGATGTGTGGATGATTGAATGAATGATTGTGCGATCAGAAAAAAAAGTGTGTTCCTGAGCGGGATGTGTGTACGCGTGTGTGTGTTTGTGTGTGTTTGTGTGTGTGTGTGTGTGTGTGTGCGTGCGTGCGTGCGTGCGTGCGTGCGTGCGTGCGTGTGTGTGTGTGTGTGTGTGCGTGTGTGTGTGTGTGTGTTCCTGCGCGGGGGGTATACAAAGAACACAAAACCCCACATCGGATGTGGGGACAAATAATTTAAAACAAAACAGAAAATTGAATAAAACAATGAACAAAGGATCGTTCTCTGCACTCGCCCCTGGGCCGAACGCCGATCCAAGCGGTCGAAAACAATTGCTGGACGCAGCGCCGTGAAAAAACGGCGCTGGTCGAGCCGGGACGGGGTCTCGCGGGCCAGCTTCTTTACTGCGCCCCTGCGCGGCTTGGCGGAACAAAAAGGCGGGCGGCCGCATAGGGAGGCACATCGGGGGGGCAGACGCGCGCTCAGCGCACGCAGTGCTTCAGGCGCGGCACACTTATTAGTCGAAACCAAAACGAACATAAAATCATCGGGCCCTCCGGGCACGCTTCGGCCACCCGCGGGCTGGATCTCCCGGCTGATTTGCGGGGAATGCGGGGGCGGGCAATAACGGCATCAAACAGGCGCCGACGCAGGCATCGGGCTGGAAGCAAACGCGCTGGCGGTGACTCAAACGGCGTCCACCGCGGCCGCCGACGTGGCCGCTGCCAGGCGCGCCGCAGCCGCCCCCGCCGACGGGTGCCGGCGCCGCGCTGCCGCCCGAACGCTGTCCCAGCGAAAGGAAAACGAGCCGCTGGGCGTGCCGGTCTCGCAGCACGGCGGTGCCCCCCAGGGCGGCGTCGGCCACCGCTTGGCCAAAATCGCGAAATCATCTTGGCATCGCGCCCCCTCCGGCCACCGTGAACCTCCACAGCCATGGGTAATGTCAGCTTGCGGTGGACAAGCTCGTGCGACGAAAGAAAAAAAAAATCCCCTGGTCAGGCGAATCGCGGGGTGGCGCCCGCCATATTGAAAGGCGCTGCGGCGGCGCCCGTGATTGGCGCCGACGCGTGGCCGCCAGCGAGAAGGCGGCAGGAGCAGCGCGGACCCGGGCACAGGGGTGCGGGAAGCAAGGGCGGCAGAGGCAGGGGCCGTCGGCGCCGCCACCGCCGCGTTGTTCCCTTGTTTCGCGGTCGAGCGGAGCTCCCGCCGCCGCGGTGGAAAAAAGCGGGCCCCGACGGAAGCGGGCCCGCATCCCTGGAGTTCCAGCCCGAACCAGCTCGGTGGTTTTTCCGCGGCTGCCTCGGCCCGCCGAGGGCAAAAGGGACCCGAGGGCGAGAAAAAAGCCTGCCAGGGCCCACCTCCCGCAGCGACTCCAAAAAGGCGAGCCAGGCAGGCGCAGGGCGAAGCTCGGTGCGCCCGAAAGGGGCGTGTGAAAAACGGGCATGGCGTCCACAGACACATGCTGCCCAACACCGGCAGCGGCCTCTGCTGGGCAGCGGACTCGTTGCATCGGGCTGTTCTCGTCCGCGGTGGCACCCGCAGTGTGCAAAACTGCTCCTCCTGCTCCTCCTCCTCCTCCTCCACCTCGTCGAAATTCCCCGACGTAGATCTGAGGCACGTCCCAGAAACGGGAGCCTCCCCTGAGCTCATGGTGGCCCTTATTTCAAAGTCTTGGCTGTAGGGTCGGAGGATCGCGCCGAATCGCCAATGTATCGCCGATGCGTCGGCGACGTCGGCGACACTAGGGGAACGAAGAATGAGATAAACATAAGAACTCGGAGGTCCGCGCGGCTTTCTCGGATCGGCGCTGGACCCTCCTCCAGGGGGCGGCGCGGAGCGCGTGAAGGGCGGCGCCGGAGGCGCCGCCAGCCGCCAGGGGGGTCCAGCGCGGATCCGCATGTTTATGTCGTTGTTCGTTCCCCTAGATACACCGGCGCCGCCGGCGTGGGAAGAAGAACAACAACAAAAAATCGAGCCCCACATCGAGACCCAACGCATCGCCGATGCGGCGCGATCCTCCGACCCCACTCGCACGGGCCCCCCACCCGGGAGGCCCAGGCCCCTGGCGCCCCACGGGGCCCCCTGGCCCCCCCCCCCCCCAGATGGCCAGGTTTGCAGCTGGCCCGCCCCTCCTCGCAAACCCGTGGCGCCGCCCCAACCGGCATGGGCCCCTCGGGGCTGCGAGCCTCAGTTCGGGCGTGTCCTCCTGCAGTCGGATGCTGGACGAAGCATCAAAACTAGTCAGTCAAAGCCTGCTCGAAAACGGTCAAACATCAGAAAACACATCGTCAACTATTTTTGCTTGTTTCCGCTATTTTGCATTTTCCTCCTCTGGAGGGAGAGGCCCGACTTAGCTTAATGCAACAATTACCAGCCTCGAACTTATCCCTATCCCGAAGATTGGCACGCCAAAAGGCGATGACAACCTTAGGGACTCGCCCTCAAAAAATAAGGGAATCCCCAAGATTGGCATCGTGATGAGGAGATGCCCAGCATAGGGATAGGGATATGTTCCAGGCTGGTAAAACACCCCCCTTGGCCCCCACGGGCCACCCTGGGCCACCCTGGCTGCCCCCCCCCCCCCCCCCCTCCGCGGCCGAAGAGGGGGCAGACGAGGCTCACGGCGGCGGCTGCTCGCTGCCGCGCGCGCCGCGTGCCGCCGCCTCGACGTGGGGCCCGTGCGGGCAGACGATCCCGACCCCGACCGCGGCGCGGCACCGCGGTCCGCCACGGTGCCCCCCTGCACGAAGCGTGGCGGCACAGTGCCGCGTGCTGCCCCCGAGGCCCGCCCGTGCGCCTCCTGGGGCCCCCCCGCGGCGCCAAGAGGACGAGGAGCTCCCACTGCATCGTTCCCCTCCTGCTCCTCCTCCTCCTCCTCCTCCTCCTCCTCCTCCTCCTTCTCCCCCTCCTCCTCCTCCTCCTCCTCCTCCTCCTCCTCCTCCTCCTCCTCCTCCTCCTCCTCCTCCTGCTCCTCCTCCTCCTCCTCCTCTGCTCCTCCTCCTCCAACTCCTCCTCCTCCGCCTCCTGCCCCTCCTCATCGGTTTGACCCCTGCTAGTTAGGGGTCGGGGCGACACTCCCAGACATGCCACGCGACACTTTGATGGTTTCAGTACGCGGCCCCCCAAATCCAGACCCGTTCCCCAAAACTGGTTGTTCATCGCGAGTCGTGTGTTGTAGGCCCCGGGCCCGGCGAGGGCCCCAGGAGGCCGAAAATTCCCCCCCCCCCCCCCCCGCCCTCCCCCCCCTGTCGTGTTGTTCACGACGCGAGCATGTCTGGGTTCACCTCTCCCGAATGGCGTATGTCTCACTATATTCCTCCTTCCCCAGCTCTCTCGGACTTGAGGCACAGGGCGGCCTCTCCGATGGCGCCCCAGAGCGTGGAGAGCAGCTCTCCGAACGCGGAGCACCTCTCCCGCACCTGGAGCAGGGAAGGGAGAGCGAGAAAGAGAGAGAGAGAGAAGGAAGCGTGGAGGCGCATGGAAGAAGAGCATGGCATAAGCACAACCTTGGATCTCCTTGGGCCTCGTGGAGGTCAGCGCAGATGTCTGGGATCTGCGCTGGGCACCCCTCCCTGGCGCGCGGAGCGCGCCAGGGGTGGCGCCAGGGGTGCCGCCAGGGAGACCCAGGCGCCAAGTCCTCAAGAACTCCGCGCGTAGCTCCGAAGGTTTGTGCTCAGGGCCTTGCCTTCGGGGGCGGGCAGAGAGGCAGCAGAGCAGAGGGGGGGAACCAGGGCGAGGGCGAGGCGGGAGGAGGGTGCAGGAAGGATGGGGAGGGACGACGGGGAGGAGGGGGGAGAGAACGGATGGGCGAGGGGGCGGTCGGAAGAGGGTGCATGAGGGACCACGGGGGGGGGGAAGGGGGGGCAGGACGACTGGGCGAGCAGCGAGGACCGAGGGAAGAGGACCGGGGAGGGAGGCGAGGGAGAAGGACGCTCGGCTTCCCGCGCGCACTGCGAGGGCGGGCCGCGCCACGCAGCTCGTGCCCTTGCCGGTAGAGCACACGAGGCAGCTGAAGTGCGCGAGTCACTCCCGAGCCGCCCCCATGGTGTCATGGTGTCTGAGAGGGCCGCACGCCAGTGCGGCCGCTGCAAGGCAGGCCGCACGGGACGCCTGCATCGATGGCCCGCTGCGGTGCCGCACGCCAGTGCTGCATGCGCCGAGAAGGGAAGAGCAGCGGCGCCGCACGCCCAGGAAGCAGCAGGGCGGAAGGGGGGGAAGAGAAGAGGGGGCGGAGGGCGGGAGGATGAGGGGCACAAGGGGAAGACAGGAGCTGGAGGGAGGAAGGGGGCGCCGAGGGGGGAGGAGGGATGATCACCCAGCTCGCCACAAACCTGTAGGATGCCCGAACACATCAATGTGCATCCAGATGATGCGACCGTCAGAGAAGCACCGAAAATTGTGGCAGCTTTCAAGGGAGAGCTAGAGCCTAGAACTTGTCCGGCATTAGGCAGCATCGTGAGAATATGGCCGAAACCTAGCACCAGCGATGCGCAGTGTCCCTCGATGGTTGCACGAAGAGATATTGGCCCAATGTGTACCCCCCCAGCCACTCGCGCCACATTGAATCCCACGGCACCCTTTGGGACTCGTCAGGGGGTGCTCTGGACGCCATCTTGGCCTGTTTGGACAAACTGGGGTGACCTTGGGCCAAAGCCACCTGTACATGGCGAACTTGAACAATCAACGCCCGGATCTCAATCGGGGTGCGGTTTGACCAGAATTGCGACGAGAATCCAGCCGCGCTGACTGGGAGCCTGGTTGTCGGTCTAGCAGCTGTGTTGTCGTCGCTGCCTCCCCATATTCTCCTAGACAAAAGCAATGTGGATCCACCACTCCCCCGACGCCGGGATTAGATCGGCCACCTTGCAATTCACAAATGATTATGCCCCATCGCTCGTGATAAATGAGAACTCATATCATATCAGCTGGGCCGGGTTCGACTACCCCCCCACCCACCTGCACAAAATTCTATGCGCGCACACTCGTTTAACAAAATCTTCAACTCGCTAGAACCAATGCAAAGAAACACAAACCGAGGTGAACACGCGCGCGTCGTCGCGCGCACTTGCCCGAATCCCTCAACAACTACAGGTGTCGCAAGGGTTTCAGAATCGAGTACCCCGAAAACATGCAAACCATCATTTCGCAACATGACGCTTCAAAAATCTGCGCGCGCCTTCTGGAGAATTCAAAACAACACAATCCACATGTTCGTTAAATGCGAACATACGTGGCACGCGTGTCGAAATATTCGAACGCCCTTTCGCGCGTGCTGCTGGGGGGCACAATCCCTGTCAAACAATACAATGTGGGTGACTCGCGCGAGTCGGCCGCGCGCGCATGTCGGAATCCTTCCAAAACCTTCATCACTGACAAATGGACATCACCGTCAACCGCGTGATCAGCATCGGCGCCGTCATTGGCCTTGACGTCGTCATCGTTATCGTCGCCACCAACATCGTTACTATCATCATGGTGTCTACTGTTGTCGACATCGCCGTTGCAAAGAGAAGATCGCACCTATATCCGCCAGGGTGCCCTTGGACACGGAGTGGGCGTGTCCGCAGGACCTTTGCCGAATTCCCTTAGCCTCACTTCTCCCTTCTGAAGATTCTATAAAAAAAGAAGGCCTGGACCGAAAATTGTCCAATCTCTCGGGGGGTTGGCGCTACTCCCAGCCGTTTCTCGCGTGATTCTTCCGGAGCCAAGAAGGCCCCAAGACGGGACAAGAGGGCCCCAAGAGGCCCTCAAGACGGTCCAAGAGAGCTCCGAGTGGCCGAAATATCGTTCCAAGACTCCAGACGGCCCAAGAGGCCTCCAAGAAACCCCAAGAGGCCTCCAAGAGGGCCCAAGAGGCAACACAAATTGAGTATCCTTTGGTTTTTTGGGGGATCGTAACGTTCTCGCCTTTTCTGCTTTCCGACGCTCCAAGACGACCCAAGAGACCCCCGACCACCCCAAGACGTCCCAAGATGCCTCCAAGAGGGCCCCAAGGTGGACTAAGAGCACCCAAAACACGGCTCAAGGTGGCCCAAGAGGGCCCGAAGACGGCCCCGAGAGAGGGAGCACGAACCGAAAATCAGAGCCTGCCGCCCCAAGAGGCCTGAAAAGAGGCCCCGAGAGGCTCCAAAGAGGCCCCCAAGAGGCCCCAAGAGGACCCAAAGAGGCCCCCGAAAAGGCCCCAAGAGCCGCGAGAGGCCTCTCACGAGATCCCAACGATCATCACATGAGCTGCATGCCCACAACCCAGGCACGGTGGCGGGATGGGTCGAATGCCGTTAAATCCGCCACCTGTCGATTTATCGCAAGGGTGCCTGGCGTGCTGGACCCTTTCGGTTTGGGTTTAGGCTTTTTTTTCCAAAAGAACTCCCCCTGGGGCTTCGGCGCGTTCCGCTGGGGTCCCGGACGGCCACGTAAACCACCTCAGCGTCCACAACAAATCCTCCAAGACGGCTCAAGATGGCCTCCTAGATGGTCACGTTGGCCCAAGATGACCTGCAAGATGACCCAAGATGGCCTCCAAGTCCGCCCAAGATGGTCCAAAACGGCCTCCAAGACGACCCAAGAGAGTCCAAGACGGCCCAAGACGGCCCCCCAGAGGCCTCCAAGACGGGCCAGAGGTCCTCCAGGAGGGCCCGAAGAGGCCACAATCATTGATTAAGGATTTTCGCATTCGCTTCTTCTCGGCTTTCCGACGATCCAAAACGGCCCAAGAGGCCCCCAAGATCGCCCCCACAGCACCAAAGAGGCCTCCAAGATGGCCTCAGGACTGCCCACCCAAGAGGCCCCCAAGACGCCCCCAAGAGGGCACAAAGACGAGCCAAGAGGACTCCAAGACGCCCAAGATGGCCTCTAAGACGGCCCTGGAGCACCCCAAGCGGGCCCCACGTCGGCCCAGAAAGGCCCCCCAAACGGCTTCCGACGGCGTCAGACGGGCCAGGAGCCCACCAGGATGGCCGAAATTGGCTCGAAGCTGGCCCGAAGCTGGCCCAAGACGGCCTCAAAGAGGGCCTCCAGGAAGACCAGAAAGGCCAAAAACACTGATTCTCCGTAAGTTGTCGAAGGTTTCGGCCTTCCGACGGCCCGATACGGCCCAAGAGCCCCCAAAGATCGCCCAAAGATCGCCCAAGAGGCCTCCAAGATGGCCTCGGGACTGTGCCCAAGAGGCCCCCAAGACGGCCCCAAGAGGGCACAAAGACGGCACAGGAGGCTGTTAAGACACCCACGATGGCCTCCAAGACGGCCCTGGAGCATTCCAAGAGGGCCCCGCATTTGCTTCTGTTCGGCCTTCCGACGGCCCGAGACAGCCCAAAAGCCCCCAAAGTTCGCCCAAGTGGCTCAAGACGGCCCCAAGAGGCCCCCAGGACGGCCCAAGAGGCCTCCAAGACTCTCAAGATCGATCGAAGACGCCTACAGCGAATCACCGCCGCCCCCTGCCTTTTTGGAAGCGCCTATGTGGCCGAACGTTGAGACCAGACCTGCCAAGCTATCAGACCATGTGCTCCCCGAATCGGTTTGGAAAGCTTTCGGGGAACACGAGGGCATCTCGAAGGTCATCTTGGCCGTCTGGAAGCCAGTTTGGTCATTTCGGGCCTTCTTGGAGGACGTCTTGGAAGGCTCTTGGGCCGTCTTAGAGGCCATGTTGAGCGTCTTGGAGGCCTCTTGGGCCGTCTTTGGGGCATCTTGGGGCCGTCTTGGGCGATCTGTGGGGGGCTCCAGGGCCAGCGGAATGAGCGAAGCGATTAATGATCAAAAATGCTTTAAACATCGTCCCCAGACCTCTTTTAAAACTATCTTTGAAATTTCCCTCCTGTAGTGGGACAGGCCCGACTGAACATTACTCGAGAGGGGGTCTGGGACCCCAGGCCCTCACACCTCGTCCTGGACGATACCCGACTGGGCGGCACCCGCCGCGGCGCCTGCGGGCTGCCGAGCGCCCCGCCCAGCGCCTGGGCCGCCTCCCGGCGCAGGTCGGGCACCTCGCGCCCAGAGGCGGGCATGGCGCGAGGCGAAGGGGAGGGCACTGCTCGGTTTTGCCAGCGGAGGAGGAGGAGGAGGAGGAGGAGGAGGAGGAGGAGGAGGAGGAGGAGGAGGAGGAGGAGGAGGAGGAGGAGGAGGAGGAGGAGGAGGAGGAGGAGGAGGAGGAGGAGGAGGGGGAGGACGAGGAGGAGGAGGAGGAGGAGGAGGGGAGGGAGGAGGAGGAGAGGGGGAGGAGGAGGAGGGGGAGGAGGAGGAGGAGAAGGAGGAGGAGGAGGAGAAGTGAGGGGCCCTGGAAACCGTGTCTCCGAGTTATCCGATGCCGGGGGAGGTGGCGGCCGATAACCTCCTAAACGCGTGTCCGCGCGCAGCAGTACGGCGCAAGCCCTTCGGACCTGCGCCACCGACCAGGTCAAAATATCCTGGGGGCGGGCGGGCCCCATCACCCGGGTTATCGTCGCGGGGCCCGGTGACACAGCCTCCTGTGGCAAGGTGGGCCACCACCAGGGCAGAAGAGCCCAAAATCGGATCGACAAGTCGGGTCGGCGACCGGAATAAATCGGATCGGCAGAAATCGGCAGCCAAGTCGGAAGAGGTCGAATCGGCAGAACTCAGAAGGCTATTAGGTCTCCATCGAGGATCGGCATCCAAGTCGGAATCCGAAATCGAAGTCGAATCGGAATCGGAGGCCATCGAGATCGACGCAAATCGGATCGGAGGCCATCAAAATTGACTTGAATCGGATCGGGCCCCGGGTCAGTCACCGTGGGCCGCAAGGCCCGCTTCCACGGGGCCACGGCTGTGCGAACGAGGCCCGCCGGGCGACAGCCGCGGGGTGAGGGGGAGGAGAGGAGGGAGGAAGGGGAGGGGGAGGGGGAGGGGAGGGGGAGGGGCAGGAGGGGGGGGGGGGGAGGGGGAGGAGGAGGAGGAGGAGGAGGAGGAGGGAGAGGAGGAGGAGGAGGAGGCGAGGCGTTGGGGTGGGGGGGTCCGCGTCCCCCGCCACCAGCGGACCCGCTGGCGGCCACTGTGGGCCGCCCCGCGCGGGTGCCCTGCCGCTCGCGCGCTGCTGCTGGCCGCGGAGCGGGGGCGGGCCAAACCGCCGGGGGTGGAGCTCGGCGGGGGCGTGCCGGCCGTCAAGGCCAGCGGGATCCCGCTCGCGAGAGGGGAGGCGGATTTCCAAGGAGCAACTCCTCCTCCTCCTCCTCCTCCTCCTGACCTCTCCTCCCCTCCTCCTCCTCCTCCTCCTCCTCCTCCTCCCTCCTCCTTCTCCTCCTTCTCCTCCTTCTCCTCCTTCTCCTCCTTCTCCTCCTTCTCCTCCTTCTCCTCCTCCTCAATGGAGCACGGGAGTACTCCCCAACTCATAGGCAAGAAGTGAACGACAAATCGTCACCGGACTATTTTTGGACCATGTTCGACGCCCCCCGCGGGTCGCCGAGTGCGGCGGGGGACGGCGCAGGCTGGCGCGTCAGGGACGGGCACCAGGCGAGGCGGGCCAGGGGCAGGGTCGTCGCCGTCCGCGCCGCCGCGGGAGCCGCAGAGGTCTTCGTCGTCGAGGTCGGCCCAGGGCCAAGTCGTCGTCGTGGTCCAAGTCGTCGTCGTCGTCGTCGTCGTCGTCGTCGTCGTGCGCGTGGGCCAAGTCGTCGTCGTGGTCGACGGCAGGGGCGACGGGAGCAGCCTGCGTCGAGGGCCTGGGAGGCCCATGGCCGCACCAAGGGCCTGGTCGGCCTGGTCGCCACTGCTGCTGTGGGCCCTGGCGCCAGACGCAGGCCGGTCCTAACACAAGCACCCTACCATCCACGGCCCAGCCCTGGCGCCCCAGCATCCTGGCCCTATCACCCCTATCGTAGCATCCTAGGCCTGAGCTCTGGCCCGAACCCTGACACCCCAAACCTCTCTCTAGCATGCTGGCCCTAGCACCCAATCCTCAACAATAACGCCCTAACCCAAGGCATTGATCATTTGTTCGTATTCCATCAGCCCTCTGGGCGTACGTGGTCTATCCCACTCCTCCCAGGGGTCTGGACGGGGGGGTCGCGAGTCCTCAGAGGCCTTGTCTGCGCTCAAGATGGCTCCAAGAGAGCATCCGATGCTCCAAGATGGCCTCCTCCAGATAACACAAGATCGCTCAATATGATCTCAACCATGCCTCCAAGACGCCGCAAGAGGGCCACGAGACGGTTCCAGGAGCCCTCAAAGACCCCTCAGACCTCCCCGAGAAGCCAAAATCCTTCAACCACCTATGGACAATAAATGATTTTTACCTTCTCGCCTTCTCGCTTCCGATGAGTTTTTGAGGCGTCAGGGAGGCAAGATGGCCCAACACCTCCACGACAGCCCCAAGTGGCCATCCAGGGCTCCGAAGGGGCCCCCAAGAGAGCTTCAAGAGAGCTCCAAGAGGGCCCCAAGAGCGCCTCGAGACCCCCCAAAGGAGCTCCAAGAGAACTCCCAAACACCTCAAAAGAGCCCTAAGAGGACACCGAGCCCCAAGATGGTGCAAAAGAGCTCCAAGAGGGACCCAAAAGGCTTTCCACGGTCAACCCCTTGCTCCCAGAGATCTCTGTTCATCCTGGTTGCTCGCTTGGTGTAAATAGATGTATCGCTGTGTCCCTTTTCCCGTCAGCTCTCAAACTCAGGGTCTCTGAAAGGGCTGGTTGGGATAAGCGAAGCGTGAATAATAACTCTTTACATCCTGAACCGTGCGATTTTCAGCCCAGACCCAATTCATACCCGGGTCCCTACCACGACCCCCCTTCACCCTTTGCAAATCATATCGTTCGGTGGACATCGGCTGATCGTAAGATCGATTCATTTAGATCTTGAGATCGTCGCATCAAAACAGGAATGCCACGTTCGCTAGATGCATCCTCACAAGCAGCCAACCTCGGATCGTCTCCCATCCGCACCCCCCTCCATCATATGCAAACGCACACATCGGTGGGCACCGGCTGATATGGGCATCGTCTTACCAAAACAGAAGTCACAATTTGCCCAACTCGGATAGTGAGTCTTACAAACCGCGACCCCGCATGCATCCTGGGCATCAGCAGTATTCCCTGGGCACCGTCGCCGTCTGCCAGGCGCTCCCAATGCTTCCAGGTGTTCCGAGTGCTCCACCGCGCTCACCTGCACTCCCAAGTGCTCCGAGGCGCTGGCGGGCACTCTCCCGGGCGCTCCCAGGCGCCCCCAGGAGCTGTATCGCGAGCAGATCCCTGGGGAGGAGGGAGGAGGAAGTGCAAGAGGATGAGGAGGATGATGAGGAGGAGGAGGAGGAGGAGGAGGAGGAGGAGGAGGAGGAGGAGAAGGAGAGGAGGAAGGAGAGGAGGAGGAGGCGGAGCGCCCCCAGGAGCTGTCAGGCGCTCCCAGGGGCCCCCAGGAGCTGCCTCGACGCGCGTCCAAGCGCCCTCGGGCGCTTCCAGGCGCTCCCGGGCACTCTCCTGTGCTGGCCGCTCCGCTCTTGGACGCCCGTAACCAGCCCCGTCCCGCCCACGAGGGCCGAGCACCCTTCCCTGGGGTCCGTTGCTCTTGCGGCCCCGGGGACTCATCGATAGCCTACAGCGTGCAACTGGTGTTCACAGGCATGGCGAATGAGATCCGCGAGCTCCGCGGGCTAACAGGCCCCCAGATCTCAAGCCACGAGTCCGTTCCCATCGTGGCTGCCAGAGCTGGGTCCTCCGAGATCCCTGGCTGGGTCACCAGGTACTCGGGCAAGCCTTGCGGGCCATGCCCTACAGCACCGGCCGAGCACTCCCTTGTTCTTCGGCGGCACCTGTTTGCAGGACTGCGACGCCCGATCCTCGCCATCTGATCAAGGAGCGCTCGGGGATGTCCAGTGGGGCTCGAGACGTTGCAGCGTGTGTCGAAGGGCTCCTTCCCTGGACGCAGACCCGTGGCCCCTGTCTTGGGAGGCCGCCCGCAGTACCGTCCAGGCGCGGGCGCGCTCGCCGCGCTCTGTGGTGCCTGGAGCGCGGGAGCGTCGTGCGGCGCGTGACTGTGCAGTGGCAAAAGCGCTCAAAAAGCTCTCGCTCCTCCTCCTCGTCCTCCTCCTCCGCGCTCAAAAAGCTCTCGCTCCAGGGATCCTGAGCGCTCCAGGCGCTTCCAAGCAGTCCCGAGCGCTCACGTTCGCTCCAAACCTTGACGGTCAGGCGCTCCAAGGCGCTGCCGTGCGCTCTAGACGTTGATGATCAGGGGTGGCGAGTAGCGCACATACGCCCTCACGCGTCGTCACTTGCAGTCAATTGTCGTCGCTCGTCGTTCCTCGTCGTCCTCGTCGTCCTTCAGATCGTTGAGTAGGTCAAAGATATGGGAAGGGTCTAGGGCGGGAGGGACTAATCCGCCACCGTGCCCCCTGACACGTTGAGGCGTCGTAGTGCCAAGTGCTGCCTGGCAAGGCTTCTGTAATCCTCTAAGCGCCTCGCGTCGTGCACCCGCCATGCTCCTGGGGGGTCCCTGGGAGGCCATGGCGCCTCCCAGGGGCTCTCCAAGGCTTCCATGACGGCCCGGAAACCCCCAAGACGCAAGACGGTCTAAAGGGGCCCCGGGTCGCCGAACGATCGCTCGAAGACACCCGAGATGGCCTCAAGATGGCGCAAGAGGCTTCCAAGGCGCACCAAGAGCCTTCCAAGAGGTCTCCCGAGATGACCCCCAAAGGCAAACAATATTGATATTCCTATGTGTTTGAAGGACTTCTGCGTTCTCGCCTTTTCGGCTTTCCGACGCTCCAACACAGCCCAAGAAGCCACCGAGACCACCCCAAGCCGGCCCAAGAGACATCCGAGAGGGCCCCAAGACTGCCTAAGAGCGCCGCAAAACGGCCCCAGAGGCGCCCAAGACGGCCGAAGAGGGCCCCAAGACGGTCCCAAAAAGGGGCCCCAGAGAAGGAACACAAACCGAAAATCCGAGCCTTCCGCCCCCAGGGGACCCCCAAATGGCCCAATAGCTTCAAGACGACCCCAAGAGGCCCCAAGAGGCCCCCAAGAGGCCCCCAAGAGGCACCACAACGGCCCCCAAGAGGCTTCAACACTGCCGCCAAGAGGCCCCCGAGAGGCCTCCCACGAGATTCCAACGAACACCCTCTTGGCTTAACCCACAACACAGGCACGGTGGCGGGACTTGCAGTGGGCAGCTGGATATGCGCAAGCCCTGTTGAACCCTAACCCTCACCCTAACCCTAACACTTGAACGCTATCTGCACCGCGCGGACATTACAACTCTATCCTTCGCACCCTGACCCTAGCACCCTGACAACCTCGCCCTATCACCCTAACCCTATCACCCTAACTCTCGCATCCTGACGCCCTACTCCTAACACCCTAACCCTACCCCATCATGAATCTAACACCCTGGCCCTAACATCCGAACCCTAATCGTGGCAGCCTACTCCTAAACAATGATCCTAATCTTGCAAACCTCACCCTTTCCGAAATATCTTCCCCCTAATTAACCCTCAGACGCTAGCCCTGGCACCCCAACCCTACGACCAACACCCCTAAGCAGCAACCCTAACCCTGCAATGCAAACCCGACTCGTAAAACCCCAACGTGACCACCCTAATCCTGCCCCCAAACCATAGAACCTAAACCCTAGCACCCGAACGCCCTGGCCCTCACACCCTAGCCCTGACTGCCTAACCCTTGCACCCCAAACTTCTCATCCAGACACCCTGCCAGCCCTAATTTAACCGAGGCTCCCTAACCTTATCAACCTAACAATCAGAACTAGCTCCCTAACCCGACCATCCTCACACTAACACCCTGACACCCCAAGCGAATTCTCCCCAAAACCTAAATCCGAACCCTACCTCCTCAACACCCGAACCCTAAAACCCTACCCTAACATCCCAACCCGAACACTGATCCTACGACCCTGACCATCACACCCTCACCATAACCCATGCACCCTAATCCTAGCACCCTGAAACCCTAGCCCTCACATCCTAATCCTAACACTCTACCCCTAACACCCTGACCCTGAATCTAGCACCCTTACCCGAACACCCTAACCCTGACGCATCATAATAACCCTAAATAGTAACCCTAATCTTGACACCTAACCCTCACTTCAATCCCGCTTCCCCCAGATAACCCTGACACGCTAACCCTAGCACCCTAACCCTAATCCTGACACCATAACCCAGAAGCAACAGCCCTGCCCCTAACGCACGAGGCCGACTCACAACACCCTCACGTGACCAAACTAAGCCTGCACCCAAACCCTAGCACCTAAACGTGCTGGCCCTCACACCTTAGCACTGACACAACGCCCTTAACCTTACACCCTAAACCCTCACCGTGACAACCTGCCCGAAACTGAACACCTCACCATGGCAGCCTAACCCTACCACCCTAACCGTAAAACCTAGTCAAAGTCCGGACCCCCTAAGCCTGACCTGATAATTCCCCTGATGCCCTCAGCGAACTAGACCAAACATCCCAACCCGAACCCTGACACCCCAAACCGAAATGTCGTAGTCCAAACACCCCAAACACATCTCCGACACCCTCTGGGAAGAAGGCCCGGGCTTGAACGGAAGCCCCTCCACCTGTTGCAAGAGATCCCAGGCTTCACAAGGGGGAGAGGGGGGGGGGAAGCTTCCCGAAGACCCCCCCTTTTCCAAAGGGGAGCTGGGGCTCACCCCTAGCCAATACGGGGCGGGGATGGGGGGGGGTCGGTTGCAAGGCCCCCCCCCCCCTCCTTGAGCAATGGCGCCCCCAGCTGTTAAAAGGAAGGGCGGCGAGGTCGCCTAGGAGGCACCCTCTCTCTGGAAGGAAATGGGGGGTAGCTTGAAGCGGGGGTCCCCCCCCCCTTTGGTCTTCCTGGCCCCACGAGCGCGCCCGTGCAACAGAAACAACAGGGTCTGCCTGCCTGCCTGCCTGCATCGCAGCAGCAGGCGCCTGCCTGGGACGAGCACACGACCTGCGCCACCAGGGTCAGCAGCTGGCCGGGATACACGCCACCGCTGATGAGGGTCTGCAAGCGCCTCCAATGGGGCAGGGCATGCACGGCGTCAGACGCCCGGGCACGAGACGTGTCCGCCCCTGACGAGGGCTGGCCGAGGTGGTGCAGAACCATCCCCGCAGAACCACTGCCTCCTCCTCTTCCTCCCCCTCTGCCTTCTCATCCGCCCTCTCCTCCTCCTCTTCCTCCTCCTCCCCAGGGTACGAACCCTCGTCCCCTTCTCGTCCTGACTACAGCTGGCTGACAAGGTGCAGAGCTGGCCAGGCGGGCGAGACATCCCACGCGACCTGATCGATTCACGTGGCATCACAGAACTGGCCCATTCCGACCCCTGGCCATTGACATCACAACCACGGGCCTGAAGACTTCAGGATACCATGGCAAAGTGCGACCGGCTTATTGTCCTCCTTGCTGGGCTTGGTCAGCTGCGTCACGTGCTCGTCGCCCCGAGCACGAATGCAACGCCGGGAACGGTTCCGACCAGCATGGCGGCGAAGCAACATGCACGCATGAGCTGCATGCTGGTAAGGAGATCACGAAAGTTGCGGTGCACATGCAAGTGGGAACACAAATATGCTTGCACTCAGGGTTTTCACTTCAGCTCGCAGGAACTGGGCCTTGTCGCGCCGTGGCCGCCCCTTCGCCGCCTCGTCACCGCCCGTCGTCTGGGCCGCATCTTCGGATCTCATCCTCTGCGGAAAACTGTATGCGCGCGCGTTCGTTCATAAACAATCAGCAACTTTCGAAAATCCGTTGTTCAAGAAAAACGGGACGAAGTGCACACGCGCGCGTCCTCGCGTGCGCATGCCGAAATCGTCCAAAAACCGATGATATTCGTAAGGATTTCGAGATCGAGTCACGCAAACATGTGAAAATACAGGGTTTCGCCACCAAAGATGTCAAAAAGAAATGCGCCCGCGCTTTTGCGATCTTATATATATGTATGTAACAGAAAAAAACGTGACTTACCATTTTTTCTCATAACATGCTACCACACGGGCATCTCGCGCGCGCATGTCGAAACCGCTCGAACACACTTGCGCGCGTGCTGTCCCAAGCGTTTTTTTGAACAACATGAACGACGTGCACGCACGCGAATCGTCGCGAGCGCATGCCGCAATCCTTAAAACAACGGCATGGTACGTGCATAATTGAAAACGAGCATTCCGAGAACATATCGAACCAAACGACTTTGCAACATCAATTTTCAAAAAATGCGCTCGCGATATTGCGGGTTATGATGAAAACCGCTGCCTTGTTTAAACTTGTCAAACTCTACCAAACCGGCCTCCCGCGCCGCACGTCGATCTCATTCAAACGCCGTTGTGCGCGTGCTGACGGGGGGGGGCACGATCAGTATCAAACGACAGCACGCGGACCATTCGCGCGCGTCGGCCGCGCGCGCCTGCGGAACTCCTTCCAAAACCTTCACCGCCGACGAGAGGACGTCGTCATCGTTATCCGCGGGCGTGACCAACATCGGCACCGTCATTGGCCTTGCCGTCGCCATCGCCACCATCGTCACCACCACCGCTACCCTCATAATCACGTCTACCGTTGTCGGCGTCGCCATGATCAGGGGGACGTAAGACCTGGGTACAGGGGACTCGGAAATCCCAGACGAGGTCGTCAAAAAAATGACGAGGCCGAGCCTGCATTTTGACGAGGCCTCCCGCTGCAGACATCCCACGAAACTCGTCCTCGTCAAAATCCGAGGCGCGGTCGTCAAAAAACGGTGGCGAACCCGAGTCCCGGCAAACCCGGGTCTTACGCTCCCCCGCCATGATACCGCGCCCACCCAAGTAAGCAACTCGCACTGAAGTGCCCGCTGGGAAGTGCCCAGCGGTCAGGGCCGCCGCGGCCGCGCCGGTCGCGCCAAACTGGCTGGCCGCTGTGCGCGGGAAGATGCGCGGGCTGGCGCAACCGAAAGGTGCACCAGCCAACGCCAAGCAATCATCAGAATCGCCGCCGCATGGGTTTTGCAAACCACGTTGTGGGTGGGTGGGTGGGATGTTTGCAAGAACATGGAATGTGTCAACTCGTTTCCAAAAATGAATGACACTGCATAATGTAGATTGCACCACAAAATTGCCCAGCGGGGATTGCACCACATAGCTTGCAAAACCGCTTCCACCGCATAGATTATGCTACGTGGACTGCACAACCAAGGTTGCCCCACGCAACGGTGCACAACATATATTGCGCCACGTCGATTGCACCACATAGATTGAATCGCGTAGGGTGCACAATATAGGTTGCACCACTGAGGCTCCACCGCATACATTGCACAACATAGGTTGACCCGCATAGAGCGCACTACATGACTTGCACAAATGAATTGTACCGCATAGATTGCACTACATCGGTTGCACATTATATCTTGTACGACATGACTTGCACACCTTAGACTGAACCACATAGCTTGCAACACACATATACCTATGTACAGATTCAAAAACATAGGATGCACCACATGAATTGCACCGCGTCGATCGCGCCACATAGAGTGCTCAACATATCTTGTGCCACATCGATTGCACTACATCGATTGCACAACATCGATTGTACAACCTAGGTTGCACCACATGTATTGCACAACATCGACTTCTAGTAACACACTGTTTGGAGTTCCGCGCTGGCCAACAGCTATTGAAACAGTGTGGCTGTGGAAACGACCTCGCTACTTTTGTATGGCGATTCCCGGAGCAGTGGCCCTAGAGCTTGTTCTAGGACGGCACGATCCGCCACCAGGAGGTTCAGTGGGGGGGGGCCCCAGTCACCCCTTGGTGGGGTCCTGCTACCCTGAGAGGCAGGTCCTGGAAGGACTTCGTAAATCATAACGACACCACTCGGTCCAATCAGATCAGTAGGCCATTGAAACGGATTAGCCCTGACTACTGGCCCCGACTGGGCCGGATTAGGCGGGGCTCGACACGACTGGGATCAGGCCCATGTCCGACCACGGATATACCAGCGCCGATGCTTAAATCAGCCTCCCAGGACCTGCATCGCCAGTTACCTGTCAGCCCCGCTGGGGCCCAGGGCCCAAACAAAGGCTGACTGGAAGGCCCCGCGGTATCCAATGTGCTCTCTGCGGGCCCCAGAGGGGTGACTCGAATTCGCGCGCGGGGCGCTCCAGGGGCGGCGCCAGGGGCGCCGCCAGGGGGTCCAGCGCGGATCAGAGACATCCGCGCGGACCTCCGAGTTGTTATGTTCATGTCATTGTTAGTTCCCCCAACTGTCGGGCCGGACGAAAGGGGGGGATTGGGAAAGCGGGGGTTACGAAATTTGCTGCATGAAGCTGGTTTCGGCCTCACCGAGGGGCCCATTCCTCGATACATAGCTCCATCCGGCGCCGGGAGGCGCCGGGAAAATCAGCTACGTGAGCTGATTCTCAAACCCCCCCTTTGCTATCCCCCCCTTTCGCCCGACCCGAAACTGAGAAGCCGCTCGAACTCGCGGGCCCCGCCAGTCGGCCCTCTGCGGGGACCGGGGGGCCCTACCGGGGCCATCGCCGGACACCTGTGGATGGCTGCTGGGCCCTGGGCCCACAGAGGCACAGAGAGAGAGAGAGAAAAAAAAAAAAAAAAAAAAAAAAAAAAATGGAGACAAAGAGAAAACCGCATGATGCGATCAGAACCCAGGAGTGTGCAACGCTGAGGCTAATCAGGTCCCTCCCGCAAGAGAAGGGGGAATGGGGGGCACCACATGAAAATGCTACGGATGTGTCGCGGGCAGTCTGGCTGAACCAGCCAAGGAAAAACGGCAAGGATGGGAGCTACCAACTGCAGTCTGGAGAAAGTGGGAAAAGCAAAACTAAACTGGAAGGGTCTCTCAAGGGGTGGGGTGGGGATTCCTCAAAGGTGGGCGGAGGGATAAAAAAGGCAGAGAGACAAAAAACAAAGAACATCCAAACACCCAAACGCACAAAACCGTGACGAACTCAAGGCACCCTTGGCTGACCAGGTCCACGAACGGACGGAAACGGCGGCGCGCCCCATTACATGACGCATGCAATATCAATGAGGATCTGGGCAACACGAGGAGGAGAGATGCTCGTTGGGAAGAATGGGGGGGAGCGATATGGAGCGAGAGAGAGATAGAGAGCGACAGAAAAAGAGGGAACGAGAAAAAAAAACGATCCCACCGTCCATGCGCAAGCTCCCAGAGCTGCGCCCCCCTCGACGTGGAGGGGGGCTGCGTCTCGCACGCTGGGGCGCCCTGGCCACGCGAGAAAGCGACCCGTGGGCGGCCCTGTCACCTGGAGTAGGGGTGGGGATGTCGAGACAGGGAAGGGGAGGTCATCCGCGACCCTATCTCGCCGACGAATTCCAGACATGGGGTCGCCCGCGAAAGCGCCACAAGTGGTCCGCACCTATCTCCGAACCCGAGGCTGGCATGGAGAGACGATCGGGACGCACACGCGAGGGCACCTGCGATCGGCACGCGCCATGCAAAGAAAGGAATGCGCGCGCCGACCGCGCCGGTCAACTTCTGCAGTTGCACGGCCGGTTCCTGGACACTAGCAACTGCGAGCGGCAGATCTCGCGAATTCACAGAATCCTGGACAAGACCGGCTTCTCGGGAGTGGGCCCCGCTAAAATTGAAGTGCTGGAGGGCCCAGGCCATCCTCCATTCACTGGGCGGAATGACTCGCCATATCGCACACCCAAATAGAAATCCGCTAGCAAAGACAATGGCGATCCAAGCCATCGCGACGCTGTCCCGAGATGATGGAATCCCTCGCAGGGGCAGCTCGCGTTCGTCCGAGACTGAGTCAGCTGAGACCTGAAGCTGGAGATCCAGATGGTGCCGCCGCTGATGATGACCAGTGTGGAACTCGCGCGGTGCAATTTATCCCTGCGCCCAACTGCTCCACCGCGCTCCGACCCCTCCAGAACCGAAGCTGCAGTGCCCCGCGAGAGGCGGGCAGGGGGGTCCTTGGTGCCCACGCTGGGGCTGGAACCGACCTAACTCTGCGCGCTTCATGAGGCCTTCGAGTCAGGGGCCCATCGACTGGTG